CTAATGTAAATGATGAGTTAATGGGTGCAGCACACCAACACGGCCCATGTATACATATGTAACAAACCTGCACGTTGTGCACATGTACCCTAGAACTTAAAGTATAATAAAAAAGAAAAAGAAAAAAAGAAAAATACACTAGATACGATTAACAGATTAGACATTTCATGAAAAAAGATGAACATGAAGAAATAGTAATAGAAACTATCCAAAATGAAACATAGAAAGATAAGAAAAAAGGACAGAGCATCAGTGAGCTGTGGGATAATTTCAAGTGGTCTAATATATATATATGGAAGTGGAGTCCTCAAAGATAAGGAGAGAGAAGGGAAGGCAGAAAAAAATAACTAAAGAAATGACGGCCAAATATTTTACTAATTTGTTGTAAATCATAACACAGACCAAAGAAGCTCAACAAATTACAGGCACAAGAAATATGAAAAAAAATTCACCAAGTCACATTTTAATCCAGTTACTCAAAACCAATTTAAAAAATTGTAAAAGTAATCAGAAATACTTATGTATAGAGGAAAAGTGATACGAGAGCACATTTATTGTCAGAGACAATATGTATTCATCTGTTTCCACACTGCTATGAAGAAATATCTGAGACTGGGTAATTTATAAAGAAAAGAGCCTTAATTGATTCACAGTTCCACATAGCTGGGGAGACCTCAGGAAACTTACAATCATGGCAAAAGGCAAAGGAGAAGCAGGCACCTTTGTCAGATCCTGGGGTCTAGATCTAGCCCATGCTGAAGTATGAGGGAAGTGGGTGGATGGGCAGAAAGAACACTCAGGGGGCCTTAGGCAGATGAATATGGTTTTATTCAGCAGCAGCTCTCATTAACAACTTTCCCACACTAACTCTTTACACTGTCTTCCCTGTCTCAGCTGTTTAAGCTAGCGGCTCCCACATACAGCTGCACAGCTGGCTCTCCCCTGCCTTCGGGGTCAGCAGCTTAACTCTTTCTGTCTCTGGACACAAGCCAGTCGAGCTGTGTCCTTGCTCCCTCCTGTTTGTCTGCAAGACAGATAGCTCTGACTCTCTCTTTCTCTGGGCACAAGTGCACCTGCCATGTTGAGCCAAGCCAAGCCCACAAGCCCCTGTATAGCATTAGCAGGGCAATTATACATTTTACAGGCAATAGTGGCTCAGAGCAAAGTATGAACTTACACAAACAGGTTATATAACAAGTGGAGGTTTGCGCCTGCACGCCAAACTTGCTGATTCATGCAGGCCTGGATATCCACCTTGGTCTTTTCTTTGACCAAAGTACATCCATGTACCTTACACTCCATCCTCTAGACCGAGGGAGACATAGGCCTTGGACACACAGGTTTGATACACAGGCTTGGCACACAAGCCTGATATACAAACTTTGGGCACACAAACCCAATACATACACATAGGCTTGACACATAAGCCTGACCCATAAGCACTGGGCACACAGGCCTGATTTATACACACAGGCTTGACAGATACATAAGCTTTGATAAACTGCCCAGCTATTGGCACTGATTACCATAAGTGTTACCTTCTTGGTGACTGCCATTTACATTGCCGTGAGTTTAGCTCATTAGCTACTTTGCCTACACTGGTTTTAAACCATATGGTGTCAGTACTAGGCTGGACTGCAACAACAGTCCAGGCAGCAGTAGCACCTTGGCTAGACCCATCTGTATACCATGCCCTATTAGGAATGGGGGGATGCTCTTCCTAATGGTGAAAGCATAGGATCTAGGGATGCCTTAGGCCCCACAGCCTTATTTTGCACTAGGACTACAGGTCCCAAGACTTTTTGCAACTTTGCTGCCAAGGGACTTGTACTTGGCATACTTTGCTGCTCCAAGTAGGCACCCCACTTCGCTAAAGTGAATGTCTGTGCCTTCCCTGTCTGGGGGGTTGTTCCCCATGAACACACCCCTCCTGCTATTAGGTAAGTCATCCATATGACGACTGTAACCCATCCTGCCACACTTTTTTGAGCCTAAAGGGCAGCATATGTACTTACTGTTTTCCCAGTTCAGGGAGTGGTTACCCATGAACATACCCATCCTGCTATTATTAACTGCTTCTCTACCAAGAAATACTGGAGCTCAGCTCCCTTCCATAGTTGGGACCAAAAACCTATTGGCATGCTCAGGCACTCCATGTGCTGCTAAGCCCTAACTGAAACTTATCTGTGGTGACATGCACATCTAGCTTAAATGGGCACGTCTAGTCGACTACCCATAGGGCTTGTGCCTGCTAAATAACCTATGTGCCAGAAAGACTGTTTCAGTCACATCATCCAATCCCAAGCAAGAGGGGTGTTGCTGCTTCTAAATCTGCAATAGAATCAGAGGTTAGCATAACATCATTAATAAGACCGTGATATATGGTGGGGCTATGCATATAGCCCTGCAGCAACACTGTGGAGGTCCATCATTGCCTTCTTATGAAGACAAGCTGTTCCTGGCTCTCTGGAGCAATGTTTATTGAGAGGAATGCGTTGGTCAAGTCCACCACACAGTGGTACTGTGCCAGTTCTGTTGTCAAGCAGTTCATCAAACCTGTGATGGAGGGTCCAGCTGCATGCAGTGGGGGTGTTACTTTACTCAGTTTCCAATAATCCACTGTCATCTGCCAAGTCCCATCAGGCTTTCTTACTGGTCATACCGTGGAATTGTAGGGGCTATGGGTACCACGCACTATTTGCACCTCTTCTAACTTCTTGTACCTCTTCTAACTTCTAAATAGTTTCAGTTATATCGGCATGCCTCCCTGGCAAAAGGTATTGACTAGTGGAGGTAACCCACTGGGGTTGTGGCAGAACTTGGGGCTGATGATGTGTATGTCCCCGCAGTACCAGCTTCACTACATGAACTGGGAGTCTGAATTCTCTGGCCATGGTGTGTAAGTCCAAATCATGCAAAATGTTCACCCCCAGAATATATTCAGGTATAGGAGAGACATACACAGTGTACAGGCCGGGGGGGCGCCAAGAGGCCAATGCCAAGATGCAGGAAGGCAGGTTTCACTTTCACCGGCTGGCCCCATAACCCTCAGTGAAAGCAGCTTTGCCCGGAAACGTATCCGGGTTCCCATAAACAAGACTGCAGTGTGCACCAATGCTAGGACCCGCTGTACATTAGTGGGGGACCAGTGGATTACCAGCTCCACATATAGACTCCGGTCATCAGGTCCCCGCTGGTGCCCAGCACCTCGGCCAGTTCCCTAATCAAACAGGAAAGGCCCTGTATCTCCGCCTGTCTGCAAATAGTCCTTGAGTTGCAGTGTCCGGGCGGGAGTAAGTTGAACAACATTGCTTTGCCCCATCTTGGGCATTCTCTGAAATTGTTGCTCTGGGGACAATTGCCTCCACAGAGCCAACAGCATTCTATTGGGTCGCCTGTCAGTTTTCTCCCAAGCAACCCCAGCTGCAATTAAATCAATCCACCTCTTCATGCAAGCTGCCCACTGGGGCCCCTTTTGATCTCGTGGGGTGGCTACCAGTGGGGGGCAGGTCACCTCTCCTTCTTTACCACGCGGACTTTCCGGTTCCACGGACGGGCCTTGTGCCTCCCCAAGGGCTCCTACAGCAGTAGTCATTGCATGTATGCAGCGCCCCACATATGGAGTGAAAATAGCAGCTAGAGAGCCAAAAGCACTGGGGAGCGCTGAGTCCAGCACAAGAACCCTCATGTGGGAGGTAAAGCGTTCATTATTTGGCCCCTGGGTATTCAGATCAAACATAGCCTGCCGCATCTCCCAGAGTATCTGCACCAAATCAGTACATGATTGCCGTTTACTCAGTTTTTGTTATCTCTCCGGCATTATTCTTAGCAGTCTGTATGGCTGTCATTAACCACCCAATTAACGTGTGGTCACCTTGCCCTTGTGACAACCGTTGGCACAGGTGTAGCCGCTGATGAAGGGAGGGGTGAGTTGTGATACAAGCCAGATTCTCCTTCCTGGAGGAGGCGCAAGAAATACTGTCAGCTCCTTGGGTCGCTGCCGGCACTGTTTACCTAACTCCCATTACTCAGTAGGGGTATAAGCACAATAAGAGGTGTGTTCAGGCGGGGCGTGGTGGCTCACGCCTGTAATCCCAGCACTTTGGGAGGCTAAGGCGGGAACATCACCAGAAGTAAGGAGTTCAAGACCAGCCTGGCCAACGTGGTGAAACCCTGTCTATAGTAAAAACACAAAAATTAGCCGGGCATGGTGGCAGGTGCCTGTAATCCCAGCTACTTGGGAGGCTGGAGCAGGAGAATCGCTTGAACCCAGGAGGCGGAGGTTGCCATGAGCCAATATTGCGCCACTGCACCCCAGCCTGGGAGACAAGAGCAAAACTCTGTCTCAAAAAAAAAAAAAAAAAAAAAAAAAAAAGAGGTGTGTTCCACCACTTTGCTGGGACGGGCAGGGGGTTGGGGGTCGTCCCTGGGTTCTCCACTGGGGTCCCATCGGCTGCTTTTGTTTTACCTTCGGGCAGATTACAGGGTGACCCTGCAGTGGTGGAGGAGCCTTCTCCCTTTCAGCATCAGAGGAGCGGGAGTCTCTGGCCAGGAGGACAGGCTCAAGGTTGAGCTGACAGCTGTTTCCATCTCCTGCTTCAGGCTGTTTATCTGAGCCTCCAAGTGCCCTGTTTGCACCTGAAGGTCCCCTACCCCTAGGTCTTGCTCCAAGCTGTGCACCTGGGACCCCAGGCGTGGGCTTGTGCCAGGAGGCCCCTTATCTGTGGGACTGAGCATGTACTTCCCTCAGTGCAGTCAGAAAGGCCCATCTGACTCTGCCATCGAAGGTGTGTTCCTTCTTGGTTCTGTATGCTTCCAGCTGCTTTAGAGCTTTCTCCACACTCGAGGAAGACCTATCCACTGCCTCCCTCATTTCTACTGGAGCTTATCCAAGCAGCACCTCCGCCACCGGGTACCACAGCCCATGCTGCTGCCACATAGCTGACCCAGGAGTCCTCAGGGGCTGAACATCACTCACTTCATCCTGCTGAAATCGCCAAATGTCAGGTCCACGACTACGCCAACTGTCACGCTGGGGGGACTGTAGGCAGGTGAATATGGTTTTATTCAGCAATAGCTCTCATGAACAGCTTTCTCACAGTAGCTTTTTACACTGTCCAACCTGCCTCCACTGCTTGAGCTTTTGGCTCCCACATACAGCTGTGCTTCTGGCTCTCCCTTACCTTTAGGGTCAGCAGCTTAACTCTTTCTGTCTCTGGGCACTAGTGGGCCAATCTGTGTCCTGGCTCCCTCCTGTCCATCTCAGGACAGACAGCTCTGACTATCTCTTTGTCTGGGTGCAAGCGTGCCCATCATGTCAAGCCATGTTATGCCAAGCCAAGCCCCAAGAGCCCCTGTACAGCATTAGCAGGGCAATTATACCTTTTACAGACAGTAGTGGCTCAGAGCCAAGTATGAACTTACACAAACAGATTATATAACAAGTGGAGGTGTGCGCCTGAGCGCCAAACTCACTGAGTCGTGCAGGCTTGGATATCCACCTTGGCCTATTCGTTGACGAAAGCACATTCATGTACCTACAACCTTCTTCACAGGGCAGCAGAACAGAGCGAGTACAAGCAGGGGAAATGTCAGATGCTTGTAAAACCATCAGATCTCCTGAGACTCACTATCATGAGAACAGCATGGGAGAAACCGCCCCCATGATCCAATTACTTCCACCTGGTCCCACCCTTAACACATGTGGATTATGGGGATTACAATTCAAGATGAAATTTTGGGTGGTGACACAACCAAACCATATCACATATTCAAAAACTGAACTAACCACCAGCAGATTTACCTCACAAGATAATATTAATAGTAGTTAAAGAAAGTTTTTTAAGGAAGAAGGAAAATGCCAGATGGAAATATTGTCCTATCTAAAGGAATGAAAAGCACCAGAAATGGTAACTACGTAAACATATAAGGCTTTTTTTCTTATTATTCAAACACTAAGGGATATTGGAATTCTGAAATGAAATACGTTCAAGCTATGCACCTGCTACCTAATTTTGCCTCATGAAATCCAAAGGCTACAACCTTCCCAAGAGTTTGAGGAATACATTGAGAGGAATTCCAGCATTCTTTAAGTCCCCTGTACTAGATTTCCTTTGCAGGCCAGAAATTACAGTGGGAAATTCTGTCATTGAAAGGCCTCTTTGGCTGGGTGAGGTGGTTCACACCTGTAATCTCAGCACTTTGGGAGGCCGAGGTGGACTGATTGCTTGAGCCCAAGAATTCCAGACTGGCCTGGGCAACATGCCAAAACCTGTCTCTACAAAAAGTACAAAAAAAAAAAAAAAAAAAAGTCAGTCATAGTGGCACTCCCCTGTGGTCCCGGCTACTCACGGGTCTGACGCAGGAGAATCACCTGAACCCAAGAGGTCTAGGCTACAGTGAGCCATGATCATGCCTCTGCACTCCAGCCTCAGTGAAAGCACAAGACCCTGTCTCAAAAAAAAGAAAAAAAAAGAAGACCCAGCCCCCAGTGCTGTGTCCGGCATGGGGAATGTCCTGGGTGGGGCTGGCGGAGTGGCGCGCTCTCCTCCACCCGACGTGGCTGTGTGTGCTGGGCCTGGCTTGTGGTAAACCGAGGTGGCAGAGCAGTTGGAGGAGGCTGTGAAGTACTACACCCTAAAGGAGATTCAGAAGCACAACCATAGCAACAGCACCTGGCTGATCCTGCACCACAAGGTGTACGATTTGACCAAATTCCTGGAAGAGCATCCTGGTGGGGAAGAAGTCTTAAGGTAATAAGCTGGAGGTGACACTACTGAGAACTTTGAGGATGTCGGGCACTCTACAGATGCCAGGGAAATGTCCAAAACATACATCATTGGGGAGCTCCATCCAGATGACAGACCAAAGTTAAACAAGCCTCCGGAAACTCTTATCACTACTGTTGATTCTAGTTCCAGTTGGTGGACCAACTGGGTGATCCCTGCCATCTCTGCAGTGGCCGTCGCCTTCATGTATCACCTATACATGGCAGAAGACTGAACACCTCCTCAGAAGCCAGCACAGGAAAAGCCTGCTTTGGACACAGGAGAAAAAAAGCCAATGCTAACCACTTCAACTGACGGAAACCTTCACTTGAAAACAATGATTTTAATATATCTCTTTCTCTTTCTTCTGACATTAGAAACAAAACAAAAAGAACTGTACTTTCTGCGCTCACATTTTTCGAGTGTGCCTTTTTATTCATCTACTTTATTTTGATGTTTCCTTAATATGTAATTTACTTATTGTAAGCATGATCTTTTAAAAATATATCTGGCTTTTAAAGTAAAAAAAAAAAAAAAAAAGGGAAGGGGAGGGGAGGGGAAGGGAGGGGAAGGGAGGGGAAGAGAGGGGAAGGGAGGGGAAAGAAGGGGAAGGGAGGGGAGCGGAGAGGAGAGGACGGGAGGGGAGCGGAGGGGAGGGGAAGGCCTCTTTGAATCCAGTGGAGATAATTTGATCCTGAAGGGATAAAGACCAAGTAGTAGCACTTACTCAACAGACCAGATGGAGGAGGTTATTGTAATTAACACCCAGTCAAAAGGGCAGTACTCAGAGTGGTTGATCCACAGATATACTTGACATTGGCCAGTTGAGTAACTTGTCCCTTATGATGAATGGGCACATGTGGTCCCTGAACACATTTTATGGCTATTTTGCAATTCAGGAATGCAAAGTTGGAATACATATGCTCAATAACTTGCAGACTACAAATATTGTTTTCCTACTCAGTTTATTTTCCTGGTAGGGAAGGACAACGGAAACCCTTAGAACTTTCCTGTACTTACCAAAAGAGTAAACCAAAAGCAATACTACTTTCCTGGATAAATTGCACAGATTAATGTAACCATCATTTATGATTTCTACAACATCATTCATCTCACCTGCTTGGCCAATGCAGAAAAGAAACGGTCATGAAAATGATATTGGCTTAACATTAACTTAATGAAAGCCTGACTCCAATTGATAGGGCCAATAAACATGTACCCTTCTACCTGCAATGCAGCTGTTGATTCAAAAAAATATTTTTATCTTGACCTGTTAATAAAATACACCAGAAACAGTTTCTTTTCACCTGGCATGGTTATTAACACATCTTTTCTGTTCTACTTAGGGTTAGATCAATTCTCTATCTGTCTTAATCTATCTGTAGGAACCTTGTTCACCTCTTCATTTCAAAGAATATTATAGCCCTAAGCATGACTAGGGCAGAGAGAAACTCAGGAGGATAGTAGAAGGAGCGCTATGATGATCATCAAGAGCCATACAATGCAGCTTCTTGGAACCAAGAACTTTGAGGATATTAAGGATGTTGGTCCATAGCTTAAAAACAATGGAAAGCCTTTAACAATTTTGAAAGCTTCAGGGATAGGTAAAATTGTGTGTGCATGGGGAGGGGTGGTGACTTTTTTGGTATTTCAATAACAAGGAGGAATTTATTCTATCAAATAGAACAAAATGAGACTTGTATTTTTTAGATATCACTTGTCAAAAATGAATTCAAATGGGAGGCACAGAAATTGAAGGGACATCAATTAAAAGACTAGTGCATTATTTTAAGCTACAGTTGGTGGTAGCTTGGAATATGCTGGCAGAAGATTTGGGAAGTATGAATGGATAAAGAGGTATTTTGAACAAAAAACAGATGGATCTCAAAGATGGACTAGATATTGGAGAATGAAAAGCGTCAGGTGTCATGGATGAACCTGAGATTTGTAAATTAGGTGACTGTATGCATGATGGTACTATTCAATGAGATTAGAAACATTGGCAGGAACCAATAACTTTGGAGGGAGTAAGAATTAAAGAAAGAGGAAAGAAACATGAAAGGTGGCTTGACAGTTAAGGACAGGTTTATTTTGGAGAAAACAAACATGAGGGGGCTTCTGCCCAAGTTAGGTTAGAGCCCACTTTCTTACAGACAAAGAGTTTTTAAGGATTCAGGTTGGAATCGTTTATCAGAGACTTGTACTGCTTCTGTGTTTCTTTGTTGTGCTTATCTGGGAGGGAGAGTTTTGTGTCTGTTCCCATACATCTTCCTGCAGCTGCAGGCGCACCCATCCCCCTGCCCTCCAAGTCTACTTTTAGCTTCCCTGTCTTAGCGCACTTAAAGGGAAAGGAATGTGCTTATTAAGGCTCATTGTTTTACTGGGGCCTGTTGTGTGACGGTGAAGTTTGGCAGTTACCCAAGAGACTTCCCCACCACCTCCCTCTGTGCCCAAGCTGTCTTATCTGTATTTTATTGTCTGCTCTTTCTGGCCGCTTGTTGTTAGAAGAGAAGTGATATCCTTGAAATGCATGAGGCTAGAAAAAGAGCTGGAACTTAAAGTGGTGGTGTTTGTCCAAGATGTGGTGCTCCTGCTCTGTCAGAGAGGACTGAGTTTGGTGTTTGACATATTGATATTAAAGTATCCACATGGAGAGGCAAAATAAGGTATACAGGGTCTTAGGTATAGAAGACAGGTGTGAGCTCAATTTAGAATTTTTCAATTCATATACTTATATGTGGTAATAGATATATTTGCCTGTGGAGATATAATAGAATGTGAAAAGAGCCCAGGATTCCGCCTTGAGAAACTCCAACATTTAATCACCAGCGAGAGGAGGATAAATCTGGAAAAAAAGATATATATGTATATAGAGAGGAAGAATGACCAGAGAGCTAATCAGATAACCAGTTGATAATGATATGTGGGGAAGACAGCAGAACAAATTGTTTCAAAAAGAAAAGAGTGGTTAATGTCAAATTCCACCAAGAACTGAAAAATGTTCATTGGCTTTGGCAATATGAAGGTGATTGTTAGTCATAATGAGAGAGATAGAGGCTAAATCAAAGTAGGTTGAACATTAATAAAAGGTGTTGAAAAGGACAGGCCATCTGTAACTCTTTCAAGACATTAAGAAATTTGGCTCAGGCTGGGCACAGTTGCTCACGCCTGTAATCCCAGCACTTTGGGAGGCTGAGGCGGGCAGATCACGAGGTCAGGAGATCGAGACCATCTTGGCCAACATGGTGAAACCCCATCTCTACTAAAATACAAAAAATTAGCCAGGTGTGGTGGTGCGTGCCTGTTATCTCAGCTACTTGGGAGGCTGAAACGGGAATAGCTTGAATTCGGGAAATGGAGGTTTCAGTGAGCTGAGATCACACCACTGCACTCCAGCCTGGGGGACAGAGCAAGACTCCATCTCAGGGAAAAAAAAAAAAAAGAAAGAAAGAAATTTAGCTCTGGAAGTGCGGAGAAAGGGCTAGCTAGAAGAGAGTCTGAGGAGAAGAAGTTGGGGGAAGAAAGTCTGTTGAGACATTTTTTAGCTCTTTAAATGTCACGGGGAATGATCCAATGTTAGAACACAGTTGAAAATACAGGCAAGAGTGGAATTGTTTGATAGTTAAATGTTTCTGAAAAATCAGGAAAGAGTAGAATCCAAGACCTCATGTGAAAGAACTGACCTTCAATAAGAGAAGAGATAAAATGGAAAAAAGAAAAGAATGCAGATGGAGGGTCCTAGAGTTGCTAGCACGAAATTGGGAGACTAGATCTCCGACAGCTTCTCAGTGAGGAAGGAGGAGAGACGGCAGGCAGAAAAGGGTCAGTTATGGTTGGAAGGGTGAAGAGTATAAAGAAGATACAAAGTAATCATTGATAAAGTGAATTAAAAAGAAGAAAACAGGCCGGGCGCGGTGGCTCAAGCCTGTAATCCCAGCACTTTGGGAGGCCGAGACGGGCGGATCACGAGGTCAGAAGATCGAGACCATCCTGGCGAACACGGTGAAACCCCGTCTCTACTAAAAAATACAAAAAACTAGCCAGGCGAGGCGGCGGGCGCCTGTAGTCCCAGCTACTCGGGAGGCTGAGGCAGGAGAATGGCGTAAACCCGGGGGGCGGAGCTTGCAGTGAGCTGAGATCCGGCCACTGCACTCCAGCCCGGGCGACAGAGCCAGACTCCGTCTCAAAAAAAAAAAAAAAAAGAAAAAGAAAACAATGTAAGGTTGCCACACAAGGTTGAGAATCCATTTGAAATTGGTTATCCTGAATTTATCTACTAGTGCAACCTGCCATGTGACTCTATCTCAGTGCTTAGGTAAGGAAAGCAGAAAGTAACAATGATTGAGGTTTGGGATTTTCTAAACAGTTGCAATAAGGAAACAGGCAAAGGAGTTTGTTATTGGCAGGAGTGCTATTGAACTTGTGGTATAGACTCTAGACTGATTAAGGAAGGAACTGAAGATAGAGTGGACAAGTAGATTAGAATGGGGGAAAGGTGACAGAAAGTTCTCATGAAGTCAAACAAAGGTCAAGTAGTTTGACATTGGAATAGGTAAGCTGAATGCAGATGAGGTTGCATGTAGACAGCAGGATGTCTGAATTAGTGATTTTGGAAGGGGTGCCATATTAGGACATGACAAAGTCTAGGGTGTTACCAAGGGAGTATTCTGTTGGAACTATCTACTTGAAATCATGCTAAATTTGAACCTCACTCTCCAAAGTCAGTATAATTATATTTATAATTTTTAACCCTGGCATTGGCATTTATACTGTCAAAAATAAATAAATCCAATAGGGATAAGTTTGCATATTCAGTCTCTAAATCCATTCGCGCAAATTGCATTTACATGTCTTCAACTGATAGCAACTGTAACAATTTATATTTAGGGTTGCATACTTCCTCTTGATGACATTCAAATTTTTTACCCATTTATCAGAATTTCCTAAAACTGTGGTTCACAACCTTGGTTGGTTATCAGAATCACCTGGGGAACTTTTAAATTCATAAATTCTCAGCCTGTTCTGATTCAGTGAACAGTGAACCTGATTCAGTAGTTCCCAGGTGGGGCATGAGAATCTGTACATTTAAAAAAAAAACCTTCCCAGGTGATTCTGACAGTCGGTCAGGGATGACAACCATTGCCCTCAGAGATGGGTAAGAATTCCTCAGTAGATCTGCCACTGACTTCTCAATTCCTCAATACAAATTTCTGGAGCTACACATCCCAAAGGAACCAGCTTGAATGCTGGAAGAAGGAACCACAAACTATAAACTAATGGAGATAAAATTTTCCTTTTTAGTGCTAATTTATGGGTTTTGAATACTTTTAAAATATTAAGATAATTCTATTATGTTACCACCTGTTTTTTTTTAAAGGGGCTACCTATTTCATGATTTCTCTTTTATAAGAGTAACACTTAGATGATAATTTTATTGCAAGACTATTATATTATAATTGTGTGTAGACTTTACAGTAAAAACGGCATAATTATTTGTAACATCAATTGCGAAGTTTTCTTGTTTTC